ACCTCTGGTGCAAATTACTGACCTCTGTCATCATTTTAAGTGGGGGAACTTGCAGAATCGGTGGCTGACTAAATACTTTTTTGCCCCACTGTAAGTCATCATCAGTGATGACCCCAGCGCTGGCTCCAAACCTTGTTGTTAAATCCCTGTTGCTATGTTTTGGTAAAAGGCCAAGGAGTTATTTATTTAAAAAAAAAAAATCTAGGAAAAGAAAACAGTTTTCAGTGCAAATCAGAATGATAATTTAATTTGTCCCTGATTGTCAATACTCCACTGGCAGAGGTGGCCATGAGTTATTTATGGTGAGAATGTGATCAGACACAACTATCAGGTGTACATTGAATGTTTGAGCTAAATGCTTCCACATAGTCGTGTACTTGCATTCTGGGATGAGTAGCATAGAAGCACAGAGTACTGAAGATGTGCAATGGATACAAACTGTTAGTTTTCTCTGTTTCAAAAGAAACCAAACCACAGGAAAAGCTAGGACTATACAAACTTATCAACCAATTTGGACTAGAATAAACCAACTGTAGGTGCCCTAAGATCTCCCAGAGTTAACCAAAGCCAATAGATGTTCATGATTTAACCGTTTCCATTCTGGAAGCCTTACATCAGATTAAACACAAACAATTTAAATGGAACTATTTATTATTATAATAGAACCTGCCACCAATGAAGACTCTGAAACATAAATGTGATTGGGCATTCTGCCTTTTGTAGGAAATATTGTTTTAAATAAAAAAAAGATTTATTGTTTTTGAAAATTCAAAAAGAATAAAACAGATATGACCGTAGTGAGGACAGTTGAATCAAAGGGGAAGAGAAGAAGCAAGCGCAGCTGTTGATCAGTGAGACAGAAAAGGAAGAGAAGAGAGCAAGAGAGGAAGCTGAACATGGGGAAGCACACACACACACACACACTCGGGAAGAGAGGGAGAGAGAGAGGGAGAGAGAAAAAACAGCAGCGAGCGAGAGAGAGAGAAAAAAAGGCTTAATTAATTCAGGCTGGATGGGAGGGATGTTGCTTCTGTGCCTGCTGAGGCTCCAGTCAGTGCCTCTGCTGTCGTGCTGCATGTAGCCGAGTGTTTGTGTGAGCAGAGAGGACGACTCGGCGGCTGCTGCCTGCCTCTCTTTGCCTGCCTCATTGGGAACCAGACACCAGTCCAGTCTAGCCACGACTCCACATCCCTGAGCCTGCTGACTGACTGGCAGTCTTTTGGACTGGACTAGCTTGGTCTCTACTAAACGACTAAACAAGGATGTTACTTGGACTGTAGTGAGAGCAGCAATGGCCAGAGGTAGGACAGACTTTCTTGTGACTACTCCTCATGCTCCCGCTTCTCTCATGTCTGTCTGCTGCTGTTGCTTCCATTTTTCTGTTTCTGTGAGCACTCTCTTCTCTCTCGTTTCTATTTAACCTTTAACTACACTTAAATATTTATATCTCCCATTTGGTTTCTTGAAAAATTACTGTCTCTCTGGCTAATGTTATTTTCCAACTTTTTGGGGTTTTTTTGTTTTGTTTTGGGTTTTTATTGTAAACAAAACTCTCATTTAGGTTTTGTGATAAAAGACTATCATTTTGCAGTTCAGGAGGTTTGTGACGTGTGTTTGGGTGGAGATGGATTAAAAACCAAAATGCCTCAGACTCATTGTTCCTTAAGAAACAGCTGGCTACAAAACAGTTCAGCAAAATATAGGATCAATAGTGTAGTCTGACCGGGCGGTATTAGGCAACAGAGTCAGACATCATGTTCCAGGTCAGGTTACTGTTCATTTTAAAAATGTCTTTACAGTAAAATATGCAGCAAGCCTAATACAGTGACCTTTGTGAAGGAGTTGCAAGGCAAGAGAAAAATCAAGGAAAAGCATTTCCCCAAACATCAGCTGTTTTGAACCAGGGTGTAAGTTTCAACTAAATGTGTGTGGTCTGTCTTCAGTTCTAATTCTGAGGCTATTATATTTGTATTTTTCATAAAAAAAACCCACCCATTTATGGGTATATGTTGCACATCTTCAAGTCACTCCCTTGTAATCCCAGGATGCCTCCTTGAGAGCGATGCTTTAGAACGAAGCGACCGACTCCTCGTGATTAATCTCCAATCGGCACGCCTAATTACATCTCATCAAGCAATCACCGAATGTGATGGTTATTTATTCCTTATTCCACTTGGATGCTGATAAACATTAAGGACTCTCTGCCCCAGCCTCGTCTACATGAACACGACGAGCGAGCTGAAAGGGCAGAGCCGAGCCAATTGGGAGGAGAGGATCAACAGAGAAAATGAGAGAGGAGCAGAAACACATGAGAAGAGGCTGAGTCCCTAGCAGGGAGTGTGAGGATAGAGGGTGAAGAGAAGAGGATCATTTAGCAGAGCCCTGAAATGCTGCTCAAGCAGCAGGAAAGCATAGAAGCACAAGTGCATGTGTACACCACAGTACATGGCCATGTTGCGGTGTAAGTCATGTTGAAAGAGGATGGCTGCTGGGTCAGTCAAGGTCTGAGAAAACAGTAGTGAAACCTACTGATGAGGAGCTGTCTGTCATCAGAGAGTAAATCACTATTAAGAGGTGAATAAGTGCCTATTTCTTTCATTTACACAGTGACCTGAAGAGGTGATCCCACACATTTTGAAACATCTGTTTCTTGATCGAAATACATATTTGTTCAGTCACATGAAAGCAACATTTAAGTAAAATTAGTGTAAATTTTTCAAATTATTTTACACAAGTCTTCACTACTTGAAGTTTTAGACCCAAACAGTGAGAGTAAAATGAGTCATCACTGGCGCTAAATGAATTAGTGGCTCAGCATCGCATTCTGTGTTGTTTGCTCAGTCATGATACACAGTTTTAAAAGCTTATAGACTCAAAGATGATGTTCTGTACATAGGTGACTGCTGAGGCCTTTAACTTATCATTTTAAGACAGAACTGAGTGAGCTGTGAGTCTGACTGAGCAAACAATGACACTGCAAGGTCATAGACTAGCAACTTTCAGTTGCAGAGAAGCCACATGGTAAAAAACAAAACAAAACCTTTTTTTCAATAATCTTCCCCATTGACTTATTTTTTAAAAATATTCTTATATGTACAATATGTGCAATCAAGTCATAATGGCAGAACACAAGACTTACATTCTGATGTGACCTTTTAAGCTTGTTGCGAAAACTTGCAACAGTATCATTAATTTATAGCCAGTAAAATGTAACAACTGTCAGCACCTGTCATTCCCATACAATTAACCAATAATCAGGTTTCTTCAACAATTATTTTTAACGTTGGTCATGTCACATTGTTGAACAGGAAAAATGGGTAGAATATTTCTACTCTTAAACGGCAATGAAAGGCAACAAAAGCCCACAGAATGAGCCTGTACAAATTGCATGCAATCCACCAGCCAACTTCAGCTCAAGACTTATTTCGGACTTTCATTTTAATCATCTGTTTTGTTTTTACTGGTTTCATTAAGGTTTAGAGAACAAAATGACTTCTTTTTTGTTGGAAAAAAGATTCCACTTTGGGTTGTAATAGAAACTGTCAGGTAAACATCTGATTAGAAGTGTAAAATCCACCATCTTTTTGCTCTGATTTTGATCTCCACCACTTCCTACGGGAAATATTTGTCCCTTCAGCTGCAAAATTCTCCACTACATATTTCCACTACTGATGAGTTTCACTCTGGGCCTGTAGCTCTTTGCTGCTACGCAAGTAGTAGTAGTAGTATTGATTATAGCTACTTTAGCAAAAAACTACTAAAATTACACATTTTTAAATGAGGCCATGTTGTAACATGACTAATGCAACTTTGAGTTTGTTTTTGATGTTCGTCACACCCTCTGCTGTCAAGCTGTTAAAAGCAGTTTTGCGATTATTGAAAGAGGACAGCTGTTTGTATTTTTATTTCTCTTTTAGTGAAGTAAAATAATTTTATACCAGTACTAGTTCTATCAGACAAGTGTCAGCAAAACATGTAGCTAACATGATCAACCCGAAATGTTTTAGGGTGACAAATAATAACCCATAGTAGAGCCTCTATTAAGACTAACAAGATATCCTAATGAAGGGCTTTCAGCAGTGTCCAGGCAGACCTAGATTCTCCACAGAGCTAAAGCAGAGGTAACAGGCCTCCAGAAGCATTTCATTCTACTGAAGTCGCATTTATGAAGTCAGGCTTTATTAAATGGAGACTATATAATATATTTGCTGCATATGTGTGAAATCTTGCACAGTATTAATTAGACCCTTTTTCATGCAGTAGGTTTTTAACCGTCAGTGTATTGCTGACCAAAACTACAAGAGACTACAACCATTTCACTAAAATATCCTTGTATGGTTTTCTAGTGAAGAGGTTGGGTTGAGAAATGATGCAATACAAAGCATGAGGGGCCAAAACAAGGATTGGTCTAACGCTCCAGTGATCCAGAGGTAAATGTGTCCTGAGTATCCACAAGGCTGCATACCACTGTCTCTTTGCCAGTCATCTATATCACACATTTGTACAGTTAAAAGTAACTCAGGAGTGGATGTGCAAAACCTACAGTGTTTTGATATTGTAGTAAATCTACACCGACCATCCACCACATTACTGGAGAACTGCCTAGTAGTAGGATTAGAATTAGGATGTATTTAAGCCACAAATATGCTGCGTTTCAGAACCTATAAGATGTTTCTTTTGAAATCAAGTCTTTATAGATCTGTATTATGGCCTGTGAAATTATTACAGTTTGGGTATGCCATGTGTGGTCTGCAGACCTGCAGCTCCAGTGTTCCCTGTGGCTCTTTGTGCCTGTCTCCGGTAATTCCCTGCGGCTTTGACAAAAATATCGATGAATATGAACACATGAATATAAACGTGGAAATCATATGACATGTATATTATGACATATTCCAATTATACATGTATAGTAATGCATGATCTTAAGTTAAAAACAAAACAAAACAAAACTTTTAATGTTCAGAGTGGCCCATATAGTTTAAGAGCAACACCGGTTAAAATAGGACTGTACATTTTAATAGATTTGACTCCACACCTGCCCAAATTGTGTTAATTAAAATTTTTTTATGACTTTTATTCTACAATTTCATAAATGTAACAACATATTATTATTATTATTGAAATAACAATGTAAAGTTAAAGTACCAAAAAACTATAAATAGCCCCTTGCAGATGAGTCATAAGTGGTAAAAGATTTTAATTATTTTGACTTTTTAATAGTGTTGATAGTCAAATTTATATTTAAGTTTAGAAAACAGACAGTCCCTCTACTCTGATTCTTTCTGTGAAAGAAGCAAATGAACTCGCTGAATCCTTTTGAATATCTCTATTTTAAGCAGAGTTGGAATTAGCTATATGCTGTAAACCCTCCTAATTTGTGGTGTATATCTTATCAGAAGGGAAGCAAAAGATGTATAACTAAATGCTTGACTTTAGTAGCCTAAATTTGCTAGTGAAATCGAATTATTTGCTGCTGTAAACAGATGTGCTCCTTGAACATAATCAGAACCATAAATCAGCAGGAAGTAAAAGAAATAAAATTATCAATTTCAGCAGCACTTACAGAAGTAATATACAGTTTTATTTATTTATTAGCTTCCACCATGTGATTGCTACTCTTCCGGTGCCCACCAAGGGGGGAATTTTTTTTTTCAAACTTACAAAAACCAAATTAGAAAACACAAACTTTATAACCAAAAAGTATATTGCATATTAAAAAATAAGCATTAAAGAACTGTTTTGTTCATACTGGATTTACTAGATCTAACATCAGTTGACTTCAGTGACAGGTTTCATAATTATGATTAGTTCCAGTATAGGCTAATTATATACAAAGGTGTTGTGGTGCATGGCACTTTCTAGCAACAGCTATCAGCTATCAGCAGCCATTGTTGAAATTACATAGCTCACCTGTTTAGACCAACAAAAAAAGAGTTATTTAATTTTACATTTTTTAATTTAATCTTCTTAACCTGTTCAATGGATATCCTATCAACATCACAATTCAACAAATGAGACTTAGAAAGAGGTTTCCTAGAACCAAACACAGCAGATTTAGTTTTGACAATATTTACTGCTAATTTGATAATTTTCACTGATTGATTTACAGTCTGTAAGCTCTGCCTGCAGGCGCTAATGAAGAAGTTGTAAATAATGTATGTATAGCAAATGTACATGTTACTTTGTCAGAATTTTAACAAACTAAATCATAAAAATTAAAAATAAAAGAGGGCCCAGATGGCTGCCTTGTGGAACACAAGAGTAAAGTTCTGGTTTTTTTTACCTCAATTATTTTCTCTTC